GAGGTTAACTCGGAGTTCAAACCTGAGAAGGAAGACCCCCAAAAAAGTCACATAGAAGGAGCATAGTGGAGCAAATTTCACCCCTAAGGATTTCAGCATCAATTTTATAACTCCCACTTCAGAAAGTTCTGTTTGGAGTTAGGAATCTCAGGGCTGTTATGACAAGTTCAAAGTTTTTTTTTATTTTTATTTTAATAGATGATCAAACCTTTTTATATACAATTTTGGATTCACTATAATAAACACAATAAAAAGTATGAGTGTAATTTTTTGAGCATCCACCAATAAAATTTATGGGATCACAAGAATATTTATGTTTTTTTTAGAGATTTATTAGTAAATGTCCCATCCCAAATTTAGTTTGAATTTGAATATGATTTATTAGTAAATGCCCAAAATATATTCAAATTCAAACTAAATTCGGGATGGGATAAGCTCTCCTTCATATCTCATCTTTCCATATCTCTCTTGTGAGTCTCAACCTAGATTCACACTAATAATCTAAATCGTCTACTTCGTAAGTTGAGTCTCAACCTAGATTCACATTAATAATCTAAATCGTCTATTTCGTAAGTCTCGTAATAAAAATTATCATACAAAAAATCAATAATCTAAATCTTTTATTTCATAAGCCTCGCAATAAAGGAGGTGGTTGTATGTGTGAGAGAAATGGCACTCCAAATCCTTACTTGGTTCAACTTGTAAGTCGATTGAGAGATGCCACATCAATCAACACCACCTTATATACCGGTGCCACAACATCAAGAAATGTGTTTGGTTTGTATTTGTAAAGTAGTTTTTGAGATAAAAAGTACGAAAACTTGTTTGGTTTGCCTTTTTTCAGAAATGATTTTGGAAAATTATTTTGGGGAGAGTTTTAAAAAAAGTGATTGATTTGATGTATATGAGAGAGAGTGATTTTGAAAAATAGGTAACCAAACAAAATTTTGAGATTTTTTTTGAAAAAATTTGTTTGGTTTGATTACTCTTGAAAATTTGTTTGTAGAGAATTTTTTCCAAAATTTTTTCTAAAAAACAAACCAAACAAGGCCAAAGAGTTTTAATTCAAACATTCCACAACTTCTTCCCCATGGATTTCTCTTTTCTTGCCTTGATTTTCTCCCTCCTTTCCTTTTGGGTAAACTACCACTAAGTTTTACTGATTGGACTTAATTCTTATTAAGTTCCATTAAAAATAAGTCCTAGTATATAGCGATTCCAGTATTTCCTTTAGTGTTTAGTTGCATTCTGAACTCGGTTCCGTGAAGTTGGTAGTGGTGTCTACCTTGTTGTCGTCCTTTAATTCCATTTGATTGAGTTTTAGGATGTGTTAGGCATGTTTCGAGCAGGTGGGTTGAGCCTTGGTCTAATTTCTTGTTGTCAGGTTTTTGGTCGTTCCGCTCGAGCGGGTCGTCTGGCGCTCGAGCGGAGCTTGCACATTCCCAGTATTTTCGTGCTCTGCAAAACTTCTGCAGGTGTGATTTCTATGCTCGAGCGGATTTCCTACGCTCGAGCAGGTCGTGCTCGAGCGGGCTTGTTGGCGCTCGAGCGGGTAGTACTTTTTTGGTGTAAGTTCTGGGAGGGGAAAATCTACGCTTGAGCGGACTGGTTTTCATGCTCGAATGGATGTACTTTATTCTTGTGTCTTGGAGCTCGAGTGGGACTTCTTACGTTCGAGCGAACTCAGTACTTTGTTTTTGATGCTCGAGCGTTGTGTTTTCCGCTCGAGCGGACCTGTCGTATGTCAGAAGGCAGTTGGGCATTTTTAAGTCACTTTTTACATCCTCACTCTCTCTCTTACTTTTCAAAAACGCCATTTGAGAGCTTCTCTCTCTAAAACCTCAATTTCTCTCTAAGTATTGATCTATTAGGAGTTGTTTCCTTACCTTTGGTCCTTACAAAAATGTTGTTGATCGTCGAGGGCTATCTTTTGATCCGAGAAATTTGTGATTTGGAGCATCTTCATTTTCGTCATCTCCTTCGTTGGGTTTTATCTTTTGAGGTAGGGATTCCTACTCACTCTTATTGGTTTTGACCTAGATTTTGGGCATTTGGTTAAATGGTTTGATTTTGAGATCTAGGGTTTCAAAATGTATAGAAAGAGGGTTTGTTATTTTGATTCTAAAATGTGTACTTTGGGTTTCAAAATAATAATATTGTTGTTGGCTGTTGATATTTGGACTCTTGGGTCTATATTGGGAAATGGGGTAGAAAACCCTAATCTGTTGTATAAATTAATTGGTATAATTAATTTGAAAAAATTGTTGTTATTTGGAATTGAGTTGGAAATAATGAAATCGGCTCATTATATTGTAGAATGGTAGAGTTGGATTTATTAATCACTCACTCTTGAAAACATTGATATTTTATCTGTTGGAGCTTTTATTATCTGTTTAGAAATAATTGCTTTGGGCTACCGGTGGAGGGTAGTTTTGATTGTTGTAGACGATGCATGATGATTAGGCAAACTAAAACTAATCAAGTGGATGTGTCATAGAGTATGACGGTTGATAGAATACATTAACGTTATGTATTGATTGATTGTGTATACGACCTATGTGTATATACGTTGTGTGTATGGGAGGAGATAGGGGATGTACTCCACGGTTTAAGGGAAGATAGGGGATGGACCTCTAAACCGGATGTTGCTTGGGAGGAGATAGGGGATGGACTCCACTGATACAGCTCATATGCTTGTCAGTTAGTGTGTTGATATAGCTCATATGTTTATCTATGGAAGTGTTGATATAGCTCATATGCTTATCTGTGGAGGTGTTAATACAGCTTGTATGCTTATCTATTGCAAACTGGGAAACGTTTAATATGAATTATTATTTCGTTTAGAGCGTGTGGCCAGGTTCTGAGCCATGGGTATAAATTTGGAAATTGGATAAGAAATGAGAAATGAAATGAAACATAGACATAGTGGTCATGTAATGGAAATGGTTTTATGAATTAATTTATGGGAGTCAAACATTTATCAATTGCTAATGTCTTAGTTACTGCTCATATTGTATTCAGCATATCTTTACTGGGTGTTGGCTCACCCTATATAGGACATTATTTTTCAGGTACAGGTAGCATGCCACCTCCAAGGACATAGCCTGGATAGTTATGGGAGTTGAAGACTCTTTTTGATTAATTTTGTTTGTGTTACATGTATATCAAGCCAAGGGCTTATTTTGTATAGAGTTAATACTCTTCTTTTGTGTAACCAAGTGTTAACTTGGAAAGCTGTAAGCCCGTAGGGCACTTCCTTTTGTTGTTAACATGTAATACTGTTGTAAGAACTATTCTGATGAATGAAAAGGCGTTAATTTTTCTTATATTACTGCATGTCTGAATGATGGGTATTATGTATATTTTGAGGGCGTTACATAGTAAAATTGTCACTAATAATAGTTTTATTGTGAATTTTTTACATGTTGCTAAAAATTGATAATTAGTGATTTTTTTATCACAATTTTTATAAATTGTTACTAAAATATACAATTAGTGATTTTTTTGTGACGAATTTTTCAAATTGTCGCTGAAAGATGTAAATTAGTAGCCTTTTTTTGTAACAATTTTTTTAAACTGTCGCAATAAAATTTTCAAACTGTTGTTGAAAATTAACAATTAGTGACATTATTTAATAGTGTTTAATAAAAAATATCATTAATTATCATAAGACCTATTGGACAATAAGTCCATTTACTTAGACCTACACGTAAGTTCCCATTTTCTTTTTTCAATCAACATTCCAAAAACTTTAATCAATAATGTAAATTTCTAACAATTTTTATTCACCCTAATTTCTATTTGCACACATTATGGAGACACGCATTTGATTAAAAAATAAATTCAAAAACAAAATTTTTGGATTGCCATTGCCACTCTCAGCCCTTTATCGCCACTGAGCCCAAAATCCTAATTTTTATTCTCATAATACTCACATCTTCAATTTTAAAATTCTAATTTTTCTTCCATTCATCCACCCATCCTTTGTCGTCATTGTTGCCACTCTCAACCCTCTAGCACGACTACCATGGCCACAAACGCCAAAATCAAAAATGATTGCAAGGGACTTTGACCCTCCTCGTGAGGATAGGCCCAAGTAGAACAAAGGTCTCAAATGGGGTCAGTTATACACTAAACTGACTCCAAAATCAAGAAAGAATAATAAACCAATTTGATCCTCCTCACGAGGATAGTCCCAAATAGAACATGGACCCTCACCGAGAGGATAGTTTAAATAAGACTTCGTCGCAAATGAGCTAAGATCGGCTCAAAGCTAACCCTAAAATCAACAAGAATTGCAAAGGTGTATTGATTGCAAATAGAGTGCATCTTACTCTAACAAAGGCCCATAATAATCACAAGAACTTATATAAACTTGGCTGACCTCGGGGTGGTCTCGGGGTGGTCTTTTGAACATAGCTGACCCCGTGGGATGACCCCGGGGTGACCATTTTAAACTTGTTGACCAGTGGTCTTCTGAACTTGGCTGACTCCATTGACGGCCTTTGACTATCCTGCACATGGAGAAGGGCTTGTTCAACATTCCTTGATCAGCATTAAATTGCCAACTCTGTTGATGGCCTTTGGCGATCTTGAACATTGGTGAGTCAGCTCTCTCAGCGTTCATTTGCTAGTGGCCTTTGTAGAGCTGCCATTCAAAGTATACAAGAGAGTATTGAAAAATAATGGAAATATTATTTATAGAATCTACAATAAGGGAAGTAATTGTGTCCATTTTCATAATTAAATTATATTTTCATACCTTTTCATTTTTGTTTTTGTTTTTATAGAATCTACAAATCAAAATTTATATCTCATGACCTCATCAAATTGTTGGGCTGGCCCAGCCGGCAAGAGTATATCTTGTGGTTGATTCAATCTTAAAATACAAAATCAAGAAAGAATAATAAAGGACGTGCAACCTCACCAAGAGGGTGTCCCGAATGAGCGCAGATCAGCTCAAAGCTGACCCTAAAATTAACAAAAATTGCAAAGGTATCTCTACTCCAAATAGAGTCAATCATACCCTAACAAAATAAGGCCCAGAACAATCACAAGATCTTATAACAAGATCTCGAGATACAAAGCTTAAGATCTTAGAACAAATACATGAAGATACAAAAGTTTAAAGCAAAACAATCACAAATATTGAGGGTCAAAAGGTTGTAACCCGCCAAAGAAATAAAATGGCTGATATGAATTCTTTACAAAATATCTAAAGGAGGATGCAGAGTAAGAATAGGGGGTCATTTTTCAGCCAATAGCAACATTAGTTGTGATGGGTTGCATCACTTCATCCCCATCACCTACTTCAGCAGCAGAGAGAAAGTGCAGTAGTGCAGATGCTGAATCATGTAGCAGAGGTCAAAAAACCACGGGGCAGAAATAACTTTAAAGATTACAAAAGTAAAATAAAAGAAAATCTCAGAGCAACACTCTACCTCAAAGAGTACATAATCAAATCATAAACGCCTTATTCCCATCTTAATAGCAATCGCAATGGAGGCCCATTGCTGGCATGACAAAACATTTCGCAGATATGGTTTGATCGTTCTCTTTGCCTGAACATCCCTAGAGGAGGTAGACTGAGAACCTGAGGCTGCTCGTATTGTATGGAATGATCGGGCCATAAAGGTCCAACCAGTTGGAAAAATGTTAATCTAGACCAAGGAAAAGAAAACCTCACAAATTAGAAAACAAAGAACAAGGTAATACATCAGCACAACTATTTGGTAGTCTTAAAAACAAAAACAAAAACAAAAACTTAAACAAGGATTCCTTTTCTTTTCCTTGTACATAAACGAGGCTTCCTCCTGCTCTTTTTTTAAATTTTTATTTCCTTTTCTTTTCTTTCGTCTTCTTTTATTTTTTTCACATTTGGATTAAGTATGGTAGAACATAGGACTAGTGACATGACCAAATCATCCTGTGATGACAAACACCACTGCAAGAGGCACCTAGGTCATGCCTCAACCAGGGCAGGCATGGAATACACCATAAAGAAGGGGGCCAAAGGCAATGATAGATGGAGGATGTCACACTCAAGGGGAGAACAAGTTCATCCAAGAAAATGGTCCAAATCACTCCAGAGTACCATCACCGTCAAGCAACCAGTTTAATAAAATACAAAACTGTATATACTGGCATACCTAAGTAGGATGGTTGTTGAGTATACGGCATAATGGAGCTTAAAATTGCATAAAAAAACTCCTTATTATATTACTAATAAACTCACACAGATGAGGGGAACCAAGCAAGGGTGAGAGAGAGGAGACTAGGAGGTCAGACATACAGATGAGAGGGGGGAATTAAGAGAGAGAGAGAACCAAAAGGTGAGAAAGAGAGTTAAGTCCAATCGATATCCCAATGAGAAAGATGATGATAACCCTTACAAGATAAGGGTGATCTCTCAAGAACCATTACATGTATCCCTTGTAGATTAAAAAAAAAAAATTATCTGATTGAAGTTAAAGTGCAATAATCTCGCATATTAATAAGGTTACACTATATAAATAGTTATGTAGGGCAAGGCAACCAAGAAAGGTAAGCAAAACATCCCAATCGGTATTTTTCTCACTTTCAAGTGCATACAGGAAGCACTTTGATACATAAGCACAATGTGTCATCATGCAAACGCATTCAAAGATGGATGTAATGAAGTAAATGCATACGTAAAGAGACAAATGTAGGTTTTTGTTGTCGTGCTAATCTGAAACTCGACATATGTCTTACATCCAAATATGATATACATCTAAACAAGTTAAATAAGACATTCAAAAAACAGCCCAACCTCTTTGTTTGAAGCTTTGCCACAATCATTTTTAGGGACTCTGTTGCTCTTACAAATTTTTGAAAAATGATAACTTTTGCTAGAACTAAGAGAGATAGCTGCCTTTGGCTCTTCTGTAACTGATACCTCAGGTCCCCCGATACCCACCTACTCGAGAAATACTTGAGAAATCAACAGTCCCGAGTCTTCTACATTACCCCAACATCAAGGGAAAAAATAAACGAGTAAAGAGGACTCAACATAGCGATCTTCTTACCTTTGTGTTATCATTCATTTCCCCATATTTCAGCTTCTTCTTCACCAATTCCTTTGCTCGAATTGCATACCTCGTTGGTTGCATAAATCCTTACAAAACAATATAAATATAGTAATAAACAAATACATAAAATAAAACAAGTGAAACAAAATCCTTTTCTTTTTGGGAGTTACTTCCTCTTCCTTTTCTTTGATGTATGGAACACTTAAAAACTGTTAAAAGCCCAGAGTCAACCTCACCTAAACGCCTCTCAGGTCTTGACCTTTCCCAATAACATAGATAGCATCATGTCAACAAAACAAAACAAACATTCATCAATACAGATAATGATAAGCACGTAGAGATATTGAGTTCAATTTAATATCATAACATTAAAAGTCGACTCAATTAATGAATGAAGGACAATACGAAATAAATATCCTCAAAGGTTGTGTGAACATTAACAGAAAAGCAAAAGTCACAGACCAGATCTTGTTCAAATTAATGCCTTGGTACTTTGGCAGTATCTTCGCTCCCTGGAGCAGCCATGCAATATCTAAGGCCACCTGTTCTTTTGACAACTGTCACAGTGCGCCAAACAAATTGAAAAGAATTGAGTGTGCCACAAAGTGGGGAATGAAAAAGGACATATCAAGAGGGGAAAGATGCAAGGATTATATATATATATATATATCAATTGAGAATAATCCATCAATGAAAAAAAGAAAAGAAAAAGAATCCATGAGCAGAAATGAAAACAAATATGTTTTTCCCTTTTGTAGATCAAGAAAAAGAAAGTATATAAATAAAAAATCAACATGAAAGAAAAAGAATTGACGTTGGGAGGGGGTGCTAAGAACTGAATTAGTCTTGGATTTTCATGAAATGCAACCAACAATGATTTAACTAGCATTTGAGACTTCTTTTATGTTTTAAATGAACCATCCTAAGTATCATTAATTCTTCTTTGACGCTAGAAACGCAACCACTACAAGGAGTACATACATTAGCTCGTTCTTGCCGAATATATGCTTCGATAGTGTCACCCTCCATCTCAAAAAATTCAAGCAGCACTAATACGGATGTAAACGCGGCCTTTTTCTCCTTGCCCGCCAGAAGCAACTTCTTTTGTTCATTGTAGGATGTGGGTTTGTACTCCTCACAAATTAGTGCTTCCAACTTACTTAAGATATATTGGTGGATAGATATACGACCATTTGAAGTAGAACCATCTCTGATCTGAGACTTGAGTAGAGCCACCTCTTCCCTAGCAGTCATCAGAAGAACAGCCAGTTCTACAACATTTCCTTCCTTTGCATAGTGACAAATTTCTAGCTCAGCTTCTTTCGTGTTCAATACAAGCACCCTGATAGAATCCATCTGCTTTTTCTGCAGGAATGTTAATGTTCAAGATCAGCAAGCTTCGCAAAATTTCTCATCAACGCCATCACACAATTTTTTGAACTATTAAAAGGGTAAAACATTAATTCTTTGGCAACCAATTTGAGCAAAAATGCAGTCAATTGATTAGAGAGAGGGAGAGAGAGAGAGGGAGAGAACCTCTATGACCATGCTCAGCTCTACAAGCAACTCAAAGAAAGGTTTTCTAGGATTCCATTTCTCAAAAAATATTGATGACCTGGAAAACAGAGCTCTGGCCACACACACACACACACACAAATCTACCGTCAATGTCCTCTGCCACTTGGAAAAGGTAGCAAAAAGCTTTGAGTAGATAATAAAATTGTCGTAGTTCCATACGATATTGATTCAACAGCTGTATTTAGTGCCAGCTTCCCTTCTAGGTACCACAAAGATTGTCCGACACCATAACACCTGTGATCAAATGAAGCTCCATGGCAAATAAATAACTCGATAAGGTCATAGTTATAAGTACGAGCCAGTGTATGCGTCATGGGCAATCTGAATGTGTCACTGCTGTAGAAATCAACCGTCTGACTGGTCTCTCCTTGAAGCAATGCGGCAGCACATTTAAGGGCTCCATAGTCAAAAATCCATTCCCAGTGCACCAGCGGGATTACATCAGCTTTATATTTATGGCGATTAATTCCGGACACAAATTTATCCTTATCATCATCGATGATTGTACTCCTAAGTTCGTAGTCCTCTTTGGGAGAGACGTCAAGCCCTAAATCAAAATTATCGCTGCATCTCTGGTAATGTGGACATAATTGAAAGACCAGATCACATTTCAATTTTGAACATTAACAGAAAAGCAAAAGTCACAGACCAAATCTTGTTCAAATTAATGCCTCAGTACTTTGGCAGTATCTTTGCTCCCTGGAGCAGCCATGCAATATCTAAGGCCACCTGTTCTTTTGACAACTGTCACAGAGCGCCAAACAAATTGAAAAGAATTGAGTGTGCCACAAAGTGGGGAATGAAAAAGGACATATCAGGAGGGGAAAGATGCAAGGATTACATATATATATATCAATTGAGAATAATCCATCAATGAAAAAAAGAAAAGAAAAAGAATCCATCGCCAGAAATGAAACAAATATGTTTTTCCCTTTTGTAGATCAGGAAAAAGAAAGTATATAAATAAAAAATCAACACGAAAGAAAAAGAATAGATGTTGGGAGGGGGTGCTAAGAACTGAATTAGTCTTGGATTTTCATGAAATGCAACCAACAATGATTTAACTAGCATTTGAGACTTCTTTTATATTTTAAATGAACCATCCTAAGTATCATTAATTCTTCTTTGATGCTAGAAACACAACCACTACAAGGAGTACATACGTTAGCTCGTTCTTGCCGAATATATGCTTCGATAGTGTCACCCTCCATCTCAAAAAATTCAAGCAGCACTAATACGGATGTAAACGCAGCCTTCTTCTCCTTGCCCGCCAAAAGCAACTTTTTTTGTTCATTGTAGGATGTGGGCTTGTACTCCTCACAAATTAGTGCTTCCAACTTACTTAAGATATATTGGTGGATAGATATGCGTCCATTTGAAGTAGAACCATCTCTGATCTGAGACATGAGTAGAGCCACCTCTTCCCTAGCAGTCATCAGAAGAACAGTCAGTTCTACAACATTTCCTTCCTTTGCATAGTGACAAATTTCTAGCTCAGCTTCTTTCGTGTTCAATACAAGCACCCTCATAGAATCCATCTGCCTTTTCTGCAGGAATGTTAATGTTCAAGATCAGCAAGCTTCGCAAAATTTCTCATCAATGCCATCACACAATTTTTTGAACTATTAAAAGGGTAAAACATTAATTCTTTGGCAACCAATTTGAGCAAAAATGCAGTCAATTGATTAGAGAGAGGGAGAGAGAGAGAGGGAGAGAACCTCTATGACCATGCTCAGCTCTACAAGCAACTCAAAGAAAGGTTTTCTAGGATTCCATTTCTCAAAAAATATTGATGACCTGGAAAACAGAGCTCTGGCCACACACACACACACACACAAATCTACCGTCAATGTCCTCTGCCACTTGGAAAAGGTAGCAAAAAGCTTTGAGTAGATAATAAAATTGTCGTAGTTCCATACGATATTGATTCAACAGCTGTATTTAGTGCCAGCTTCCCTTCTAGGTACCACAAAGATTGTCCAACACCATAACACCTATGATCAAATGAAGCTCCATGGGCAATCTGAATGTGTCACTGCTGTAGAAATCAACTGTCTGACTGGTCTCTCCTTGAAGCAATGCGGCAGCACATTTAAGGGCTCCATAGTCAAAAATCCATTCCCAGTGCACCAGCGGCACCACATCAGCTTTATATTTATGGCAATTAATTCTGGACACAAATTTATCCTTATCATCATCGATGATTATACTCCTAAGTTCGCAGTCCTCTTTTGGAGAGATGTCAAGCCCTAAATCAAAATTATCGCTGCATCTCTGGTAATGTGGGCATAATTGAAAGACCAGATCACATTTGAATTTCATCGATATAAAACAAAACTTCACAACTGTAAAGAGAAATAAGAGGACTTTGAATGATATACGCGGACACAATTTTTTTTTCTATGTGGACATAGAAAAAAAATAGATGATATACGCGGACTTTGAATGATAGAGCACTTAGCATACCTCATCATTCGAACCCATCAACACTTGCTAAAATTCAAAGATGCCTATCCTTCATACCAACAAAAGATTTCATCATTATGTAAGAAGAAAAGAAGAACATCAATATTTACCTACTTCACTCCACAGCAGTTCGAAATATTAATTTGTAAGTAACCATTGTAACACAGTTATTATACTAAAGAATTAAGGAAGAGAGAAAGGAACCACAAAATGTGATGTTTAGAAGAGCAGCAATTTAAAGCAAGATGACAACATCAACATTCGATACATTCAATCGATTTGCCAAATCCTATCTTTGAACAAACCACAAGAGCTGAACTTCCTACATATGTACACATATATTACATAGAGCTAAAGAGAACGCCTGAGGTCGAGAAATGTGTCCAACACTTCTTAGGTGTCTACGACTAAGAAATTAATACATGATCGACACTGTTACACTTACAAAACATGATTATCAAAATTTTGGAATTTGACAAATCACTATCTTATACAAGTTGGAAATATATATCTGCTAAGACTAATCATATTTAAATTTCACTTAAATTTGTAGAAAAATGCAAAAGGCCCGTAATTCTTTTATTAAACAAGAGACTTTAGGAGGATGAAAGGCTTATTGTAATTATGTATGCATGCTATACTTTGTTTGTAACATAAGCTAAGAAATGGTGATAATAAACTCTTATGGACTATTTAAGCATTTTTGTTAAGAGTATGAAATATTTACTTATCGTCTCATATTATATAAATATTTATTGTATACATATATAAGAGATAACAACATAATTCCATTTCTATAACAAGATCACGAGTAGCATTTTCTAGCCGTGTCCATGTCATATTTTTTAAGGATTGAATCACGTTTTCGATCCACAATGACATTATCAGCACCAATGGGCCAATACGGTTCTTCGGCCCAGAGGATAATGGCGGCACGATTGTCATCAAGTTCTATTTGAGATGGGCCTGAATCATTCAGTCGGCGCGACATGATAATGCCGACCCGCAGCCCATCAATAATCAACACTGGGCCAATTAATCAGCCTAGCGGCCCAGTTGACATAGGCCCATCAGTAAGTGAGGCCGGATCCAATAACTCCGAATCATCACGGCTGAATACAGATGAGGTGTCTAAATTAATTTCAGAGGCTGTAAAGGCTGCAGTGGAAGGATCCGCATCAGCCCAGAAAACAAATGTACAACAGAGACAATTATAAAATAATTTGTAATCAATTATTTTATTAATAACAATATTTCAATCGACAATTCAAATGCGCTCTTACAATCGATTTTGTGCGACATTCCCACACAAAATAACAAATAATTGCGTTTTTTACAATATTGTTGTACGCGCCGCTAAATTGACCTAAACTATCTTGGAATTCGGATAAGAACGCCTTTAGGAGGATGAAAGGCTTATTGTAATTATGTATGCATGCTATACTTTGTTTGTAACATAAGCTAAGAAATGGTGATAATAAACTCTTATGGACTATTTAAGCATTTTTGTTAAGAGTATGAAATATTTACTTATCGTCTCATATTATATAAATATTTATTGTATACATATATAAGAGATAACAACATAATTCCATTTCTATAACAAGATCATGAGTAGCATTTTCTAGCCGTGTCCATGTCATATCTTTTAAGGATTCATTATGTTGAATTTGTATCCCTTGACTATGTATATGCTTTATAATTAGCTTATTATATCTCATTTATCATTGGGTGCTTGCTTGGTAATTAAGAGAGACAGAGACAGAGACAGAGACAAAATGAATTCTAGATAAAGAAACACCTTCACCATTTCATAACCACCCACAAATTATATAAATAAGGAAGATATATATACATATATGTATCAAATATACGCTAAGAAGCATGGACATGGATATGGATGCAGATACGGATACGGACACAGATGCAAACACAGGACATAACGATTTAAAAAAAATGGGGACACGGCAATAAAATATATTTTTATGTATTTTTATTTGCTATCTAGATTAATATTACATCCACAAATAATCCATATTAACAAAAACTAACTCTATTCTATATATATTTTCAAAAAGTACTTTTAAATTAACACATACAGTTTATATCTTTTTTAATGAATGATCTAAGTATGTAAATCTAAGAAAAAAATAATAAATATTCAACATTTATCAAAAACACTAAATAAAATGGGAAAAAAGACAATTTGGCGTGTCCTTAATGTGTCATCGAAGTGTTCTCGACATGTCCCCTGAAAATAAATTAATTAAATAAGGGGACACGCCATGTGGTGTGTCCCTGTTGCATCCCCAAAGTGTCCTTGTGTCCGACTTGGATACGGCACATGCTTTGAAGTGTCGATACTTCATAGAATATATGTATATCTTACATGAATGTAAGATACCATTGTGACACTAGACCTAGGAAGCACGGATATGGAAATGTGACGAAACCTTAAAAAATAGGATATAGGTGCAGAGGGGATATGTTTGTAAAAAATATATATATTTATAATTTCTAAAAATATATTATGCATAAAAATAAAACCAAAAGCAGGAGTTCATTCATTTAATCAAAATCAAACATTGATACGGTACTTGCCAAAACCAAAAGCAAGCTAATAAAAAAAATCTACTAAGCTAGGAATCTTCATTCCCAACTCCTACTTGTTCCTTTTCATCTTTGTGTGTGTGTGTGTGTGTGTGAGAGAGAGAGAGAGAGAGAGAGAGGGCCTACCTAGTCAGTGATCATCTGATTGTTTGTTATGTTTTGTTGAGATTGTTTATGTAATTGAGAAAGGTTAAGATTTGAGAGGAGAGAGAAAGAGGTTGCCTACCTAGTTAGTGATCATCTGATTGTTTGTTATGTTTTGTTGAGATTGTTTATGTAATTGAGAAATGTTAAGATTTGAGAGGTGTTTAGGTGAGGCTGATTCTTACCTTTAAACAATTTTAAGTGTTCCATATATCAAGGAAAAGGAAGACAAAGTAAATCCCCAAAAAAATGTTGTTTCACTTGTTTTATGTGTTTGTTTTTATTATGTAAGGTATGCAATTTGAGAAAAGGAATTGGTGAAAAAGAAGCTGAAGGATGTAGAAGAGAATGAAAACACAAAGGTAAGAAGATTACTATATGTTGAGTGCTCTTTAATCAATATATTAATATACAATGCTAGCACAACTTCATTGTATATCTTTCTTTTTTTGGTTATAATATGACTAACTTATTGGAAAAAAAATGCTAGCACAAAAGAGTTCCAAGGATTTTGGGATACAATAGCACATAGCAAATAGATTTCCTAACCAAACTTAGCATAAACAGATACCAAGATAGAGTTGAGAACAAATTTCCAAGAGAGGAAACCCACCCATTACCTACTAATCTGGTGTACAGTCCCTATATATTACTATATTGAATAAAGAGCACTCAACAAATAGTAATCTTCTTAAGTTTGTGTTGTCAATCACTTCTCCATCTCTCAGCTTACTCTTCACCAATTCCTACACTTGAATTGCATACCTCATAGGTTGCATAAATCCTTACCAAATAAATAAATAAAGTACTAAACAAACATATAAAACAAGTAAAATCGTGTTACTTCTGAGATTTACTTCCTCTTCTATATAGAACACTTCAAACTGTTAAAAGACCTGAATCATCGCCTCTCACTTCTTGACCTTTCCCAATTACATAGACAACATCATGCCAACAAAGCATACCAAACATTCAGATAATCACTAAGTTGGGTTTGCTCAAATAGGCAGAAGGATATGGAAGGATACAAAACATAGCAAACATGGCGTAGAATGATAAATAGTGGTACTACTCATAACTTGAACAACTAACATTTGGAACGCACATGCCCTTGTTCGACACTGATGCATATAACTTTGAGCGACAAAATAGGGCTCAGTGAGACGGTTTAACAAATCTGTGTAGTATAAAACAAAGGGAAAAGAAAATATGTAAACTTCAAAATCTAGCGAGAAGAAAGAATCCTAATAACAGAGTTACTATTATATTGAAGATTTTAAGGAAGAGAAAAATGAAACCTCAAAATGTGATGTTCAGAAGAGAAATAATCTAAGCAAAACGAAAACACCAACCTTCGACATAGTCGATCAATTTTCCAAACAAACTTTAAAGAGACTGCAAGGGCAGAACTTTATTTAAATGTATATATATACACACAAAGCTAAGAATAACAAAAGGGGTTGACAACAGTGAGGCCATGTGGCGCCAGGCCATGAAAAAATGGTGGGATATAGACCATCAACAAAACCAATGGTTCGACCAATCCAAATTTGTATTTGATCCACTAGTCTGCATATTAGGAATGGGAAACGGGGCAAGTTTGTATCTAATCCGTTGCACATATGTACTGGTTCACCAATTGGCACCCACACACACGTTACGCGGGGTATGCACATCTTTGTGAAGTAAAACAATTCTTGCCGAGTTTTGAACCAGTGACTTGAGAAAAAAAGCCTAACTAGCACTAACTGCCAAGCTCTATCATTGTCAACGTATCATGTATTGTTTCACAAATTATGTTATTACAAAAAAGAAAAATAAAAAGAAAAGAAATATATCACATAATAAAAAGCAGGCATCGTTGAGGAGGCAAGAGATAGAGAATAACTAGAGGGTGTGGGCACAGAAAAATTAACAAAAACAAAAAATTAACGTATCATATAGAGTTATTGGCTTTCTCATTTTTCCTAGAGAGTCAAAAAAGGTTTACACATAATTTTTTACTTAACTTCACACGTAAGAATTGGATGAACTTAGTTTAGCTTAAGACATGAAAACGATGAACTCAAAATGAAAGTTGAGAGCTAGCCTGAATATTAACATAAATAAAAAATGTAAAGCGCAAACAAACAAATTTGAGTGAGCAGAGCCAACCACACAAAACAAAAACTAAAAACACACTTGTATAAAGAGTATAAATTAAAACCCAGGCATGTAGGAATAGACATTGAATTGAAAGAAAAGGTCCTGCCTTTACTCTTTTTTATTTATTTATTATTTTATTGTTATTAATAAAGAGAAAATCATTAGGGCATCCATGGAATAAAGTGCTGAACTTTTTGAAACAAATCTTACATTGGGCACAACAAAAAAAAAAACAAAGCTGGCCATCCATGATAACTGTGCAAAAAAAAAAAAAAATCTTACATTGGGCACAAAAAATAAAACATATGTTGGTGGATGCGCAGGTTGCAAAGATCACATTTTTAATCGAGCATTGAAGAAGTCGCGTGCAGGGACCAAATTTTTTCACACGTTAACCAATTTTATTTATTTAATATATTTTTTTAACCACTTCAAAGAAAGAAAACCCAGTAAAAGCAACAACACACCGACAGGATCTACTGGAAACAATAATATATCATATCATATGCCATGCAAGCAACAACAGACGGACAGGGTCTACTGGAAAATACAATACTAAATCGAAAGCGAATATGGAACTGAAAATAAAATAAATTGAATTTGTCAAACATCTTTATTCACATACTTATTAGATCTCCAATAATGGGCAGCTATATAAACACAAATCAAACCAGGAAAGACCCAATTTTTTTAGTAAATAATTTTAAGAAAATTTAAAAAGTTTTAAGAAACTGAAAAATGGGGTAAAAAAAGATGTAAGATACGTAGAAACAAAACGATGGAGAGAGAGAGAGAGAGAGAATACCCGTCCGGTTCGGCAGAGGCGAATATTATGCGTTCGGCGATGAACTGGTGTGGACTGTAGAAGAAGCCTGTGGTGTGGTGTACACCAAAAACAAAGCTGGCCAAACAGTACTTTACTTTTGCAGAAGCATTAATCAATATTTGTAGTCTCTTTCTTTTTTGTCTGTTTCATAGATTTGGCCGTACATCCGAGGGAGTGTTAATTTGCCCCAGCTTGGGCTGCAAGCTCCTATTAAAATTCCGGACAAGTCGGGTCACGGGTCATGAAATTTGGTCTACGCCTAGGCTCGGGATATGTCTACGCCTCGGGATATTTGAGCTTGGATGGGCCGATGGATCACGCCGCGGGCAGGTTTCAAGTAGTTATTTTTACACCCCTAAGCGACATTTGATTTTGAGATAAATTATTTTAATAAAAAAAATTATATATTCATTAGCTAGTATTTAAATATATAGCGTCATTTTATCAATATATAAATATAATTAATTATTATTATAAATATATATTATTTTTCATTAAATATTATTATATTATTTCATTAATATGTGAATATAATTTTTTTCATTATTAGGTAAATATTAAATATATAATAGTTATCATATCACTCTATTTATTTATTTATTTTTGTAATTTACACATATATGATCTCATAAATAGATGATTACTGTAGAGGAGGGATTTGTTCGCTAAAAGCCAAACGGATAATATTTTCTTGCAAAGATTGTTCTGTTTGAATTATTAATTGATTTAATTCATCAATCTAATTTTGTACAGTTGGAATATGTTGTAGAGGTAATCAAGTAGCTAATCTTTTTCTATGCCAATCTAATATTTCATGTAATTTAGATAAAATATTTACAGACATAAAACATTATAAATACTTACAATGCAGCTAATCTTTCGAATTATACTATTTAAGAATCCCTCCATAACCCTTGTCGGAGGTATCTGTTTCAACAATTTTTTCCCAATTAGGATTAGGAATAGCTAAATAAGGTAATTGTTTAACTCATAATTTAATATTCTGAACAGTTTTAGTATGCATAGATGATCATGGTTTGGGATTCTTTTTTAACCTTGCATGAAGGATAGCAATATCATTAGCTAAATTCTGATAATAGTCGGCAATATAATTTAAACATCGAAGGAAACGTTGTTATTGAGTTTTATCCTTGTTTTCATTTGGATATTTATCTACAAACTCAATATTGCAGTCAATAGGAATAATAGTGCCATTATAAATATTGTGACCTAGAAATCTGATTTTTGTTTGAAAAAGTTTCATTTTTTATGAGAAAACAACAAATCCATTTTTAATAATAACATTCTTAAAAATATTGAGATTTTAATATGTTGTTCAATAAATGAAGAATATACAATAGCATCATCTATATAACATATAGTAAATTCGGAATAAGAAATAAAAATATCATTAATAATATTATGAAATTCAGATAAAGCATTTTTTAACTCAAATGGCATAACATTCCATTCATAATGGTCAAAGAGTGTGTCTGTTTATCTTCGGACTATTTGGTTGGATTGGATTTGTATCCCATGTTTGTTTAGTCATGGGATTAGAAACTATTTGGTTGGACATGATATGAATCCTATGTTTGTTTGGGATATTATAGAGAATGATAAATGTTCAAACGACTATTTTACCTTTTTTAATTATTTACTAAGTAATAGCAATATTAAACATATCTTTAATATTTTAATTATTTTTAACTAGATTAAATAAAAATTTATTTTATTTTATTTTTTACACAATTAAATAAATTTACTTTTTAAAAATTAAACAAATAAAATATCAATAAAAATATATGTTTTTTTAATTAAAATTTGAAATAAATTTATTTTAAAAAATAATAATAATTAAATGATGAAATTAAACAAAACATATATTAAAATTTAAATAATGAAATTAAATAAAATATAAACAAAATTTTAAAATAAAACATTAATAAAATATTTATAAAAAATTATTTTAAAAAATTAAATAAATAAAAATTAATAAAAATTAAATAAAAATATTTTATTTTTAAATTAAAACATTTAAATTTTATTGAATTTTACTAAATATAATATATAATTAAATAGTAAATGGTCAAAATGATTATTTCACCACCTAACCCCATATTTCCTTATCCCTCCATTTGTGTCCCACCCCCCATGGGACACAATAGTCCAATGAATTTGGGAGTAATAGTTGTTGTAGAGTAATCTTGCTTCACCACCACCTATCATGATTTTTTTCCATCGGCCTAAGAGTAGAAGTATGGAGGCTAAAATCAAGTTTTTCAACAAGTGGTTGCAGCCGTTTGAAATTCACAGCCTTGGTTGCATTTGCATTTAATGGTTTCACATTGTATAATTTATTTATAAATAGCCTATGTATTGTAGAGATTAGTGTATGGGAGAAAGAAGAGAGTTAGAGAGTAAGAGTATGTTTTTTCTCCACCTCAGTGTATGAAATAAATCTGTTTTAGATTATAAATCTTCTCTCTGGTATTTGTTTTTGTGAACCATCATAAGTGGTTTGCACCCCACTCTCACCAATAGTGGTATCAGAGCACTAGGAGGACCTGTTTTTTCAAAAAAAAGTAGAACAGAGCATCGTTTCAAATTTTGTCCAGAAATCAAAGTTGTTGAAATCAAGTTTTGATCACACCAATGTGTAGTTCTCATCGAGATGATCACACTGGAAAAAAACTACGTTGAAAACCGAGTCCCACAGAAACCGCACGTGCTATACGCGCTGTCGACGCCGTCACCAAGCGTAGTAATGCACCCACGCATCTTCTTCGCTTGGATTTGCACAGTCCGACCTGTCTGATGTACGATCCGATCCATTAGCCCTGATCCAGACTCGTATCCAGAAGCAGACGTCATTGACGACGTCATTGCTGACGTCAATCTAAGTTGTTAAGCTGAGTCAAGCCATACCGCCAAGCCGCAGTTCGAGCTGAGCCACGCCGTCAAGCATTGATGTCAGCTGATCTGGAGAAATTATTTGGTGTTTCTTCGAAGTTCCATATTTAGCATATCTAAACCGTTTAATTATTTTTGCTAGATCTAAGTCGTTTGAAGTCTGTTTTTGGTGATCCAATAGTGCTTTCCAACTATTTAGAATATTTCGGACACATCTGTATGGTCAGAATTTGCAAATTACATCTTGAAAATTTGCAGATTTCTTAAAGTCAACCAATGGCCAATACAAACAATTTCTTTCAACCCCAGTTTCCAAAACTCAACAAGGATAATTATGAAAATTGAAGTATTCATATGCAAGTCCTATTAGCCTCACAAGATTTGTGGGAGTTAGTTGATCGAGGATATGACAAGCCAGCTACTCTTGAAGATGAATGAAATTTAAATGAAGCTCAGAAGATGACTTTAAAAGATTCAAGGAAGAGAGATAAAAAGGCATTGTATCTACTCTATCAAGGCATTGATGAGTCAAACTTTGAGAAGATTTCAGCAGCAACAACCTTTAAAGAGGCATGGAGTATTCTTCGCAATTCACACCATGGAATTAAAAAGACTCAAAGTTCGACTCCATGTGTTATGTGGCGAATTCGCGATGCTGCATATGAATGAAAATGAGTCAATTTTTGAGTACTTCAATAGAACATTGACCATTGTTAATCAAATGAGAAGATATGGAGAGAAGATGGAATCTCTTCAAGTGATAAAGAAGATTCTACAATCACTCAGTCCAAAGTTTGAGCACGTGGTTGTAGCAATAGAAGAATCCAAGGATCTTAGTGCCATGACCACCGATGAGCTGATGGGCACACTTGAGATTCATGAACAGAGGATCAACAAGAAGACTCCCTCAAGTTCTCTAGAGTAAGCTCTTCAATCAAAGCTGTCTTTCAGAGATGATAGAAACGAGCAAGGGGGGACATTACAAAGAAGCCAAGGAAGAGGCCGTGGTTACAATTATCAAAGTTCTAGTTTTTGAGGAAGAAGCGGAAGAGGTCCAGTAGGAGGAGGAAGAAGTCAACCACACTTTGCTCCAAGAGAAAGAGCAAGAGGAAGAGGAGGTGGTTACAACAACCGACTAGGATTTGACAAAAGCAATGTTCAGTGTTACCATTGCCACAAGTTTGGGCATTACAGCAATGAATGCTGAAGTAGAGCAACAATAAAAGCCAGAGAACAAGTAAATTTTGCCGAGTAGGAAACAAACAAAGTCGAACCTACAGTCCTGTCTGTCCATCATGGAGATACTGAAAACCAACACAATATTTGGTATCTAGATTCGGGAGCCAACAATCACATGTGTGGTAAAAGAGAGTTGTTCGTTGAGCTTGACGAGACTGTACAAGCACAAGCCTCATTTGGTGATTCTTCAAAGACTCTAGTGAAATGAAGAGGTAATATTTTGATTAAGCTCAAGAATGGAGATCATGATTACATCTCTAATGTTTATTATGTTCCTACCATGAAGAACAATATTTTGACTATGGGACAACTCCTAGAGAAAAGATACGACATCAACATGAAAGATTGTCATCTTACCATCAAAGACAATCATGGTAATTTGATCGCTCGGGTGAGAATGTCCAAGAATCGGATGTTTACATTGAACATCCAACATGATGCTACGAAGTGTTTAAGTGCCATAATCAAAGACAAAGACTGGCTATGGCATTTGAGGTTTGGACATCTCAACTTTGGAAGCTTGAAGCTGTTGTCAAGCAAGAATATAGTGAAAGGGCTCCCTTATATTGCTCATACTAATGAAGTCTGTGAAAGCTGCATTCTTGGCAAGCATCACAGAACTAGCTTTGCCAAAGAAGTGAAACGGATAGCAACAAAGCCGTTGGAGCTAATGCACACTGATGTATGTGGTCCATTGGAGCCAATGTCAAATGGACAGAATAGATATTTTCTCACCTTCATTGATGATTATAGTTGGAAGACATGAGTGTATTTTCCTAAAAGAAAGTCAGAGGTGTTCAGTATCTTCAAAGAATACAAAGCTTTTGTAGAAAAGCAAAATGGCTACTACATCAAGACATTTCGATCAGATCAAGGTGGAGAATATACATCTGATGATTTTGAAAGATTTTGTAAA